GGGCGACGCAGGCGCTGCAGCAGGCGGAGTTGGGCCTGCAGCGTGGCGCGCACGTCCAGGCCGTCGGGTAGGTGCACGTAGCGCACGCTGCGCCCGGCCACCAGCAGCTGCTCCAGGCAGTGGCGGCGGCCGCGCCGGTCCGTGAGCGCGGCGGGTGCCAGGCGGATGTTCATGAACGCGTCCACGTTGGCCACGCGACCGGTGGCCGCGCTCTCGTCGCGCAGGTCCACGGTGGCCTCGAGCCCGCGCAGCCCTTGCAGCAGCAGCACCAGGCTGTTCTCCGAGATGGCGCGCTCCCGCGGCGACGCCGGTGCCCACATGGCCGCGGAGACACGGTCACGGTCACAGACTGGCCCGCTCACCGCCTGGGGTCAAGGGGCGCGTGAACCCACCCCCTCGCGGCATTGGCGGCCTGACGCGCCTGCGCACTGAGCGCCGGCGGCCCGCAGGGATTGGCTGCCCACTGCGCCTGCGCACTGAGCAGCCGGGTGAACCTCACGGGGATTGGCTGCTCGCCGCGCCTGCGCGCTGAGCAGGGCGCCGAGCCACGAGCGGCCGCGGTGCGGTGGACACGTGAACGGTGCACGGAGCCGCGTGGACCGGGTCACGGGCGTGGAAGTGATTTGGTCACGGAAACAGAAGGTCCCAAACGGTTTAATAAGGAGGGATCCCAGGTCCAGGAATTGGGTCTAGCTCGTGTGAATGCTGAACATGCGCCCTTCCCCTCTCCCCCACTCGTGTTGCTTAGGGTTGATATCAGGCTTCAGAAAACCCTGCATCAAAAAAAAGGAGTTCGCCTCTCTGCGGCATTTCAGAATGTGGATGACAACATTGCTGAGAAGGCCAAGTCTCGCTCCCAGAAGCACTCAACTCAGACGCAAGCACCGACACACTGAAGTTTATTCTGGTTTCTGTGGTACTCTGAAACACAAGCCTAGCTTTCTTTTTATTCCTCCCCACAGGAGACCTCCCCCAACACCAGCGCTTGGTCACAGTACATACAGTAACTTCCAGGGAAAGGAAATGATATTTCCCTGGAAACATAGAGGCAAGTCGAGACACGACTTGGTGCAGCCGTTACCAACCAGGGAGCTGTTCTGTGCCTGATGATGACAGAGCGCAATGCACAGATCACCTAGAACAGTCACGACTGCATTGTCTACACTACAAGGCCAACACAGTACAGGAAGTACGTTCATAAATCCTCTACACAAATGTAATCCAGGGCAAAAGATCACCAGCTGGAGCGACCCCATGAGCCCATGGCAGGGGTCACCATCAGACACAGCACTAGGAGCCAGAGGGTGCAGATGCCGGGGGTTGAAGCACGCAACAGCCACAGGGAGCCCTACTGCAGGTGCTGCTTGTGCAGGGACCAAGGTGGACAGCAGTACATCGCATGGGGGCCCTGGGGTAGCCCTGGTATGTACGGAGCTACACGGACACTGCCCAGGCTGGAGCAGAGCACTTCCTGTGACTTGCTTCATCTGTGTGCTGCCCAGGTGTCTTCTGTGTGATGCTGGACACATGGATACACACATCTGACAATGATGCTGGATGTAGGAGGAGTGGTTCCTTCCCCCATCCATGAGAGCCAGGCACTGGCTGGTAGACACTGCACCAGCTCCCACTTCTCACAGTAAAGGACATGGACAGAACCTGGTCTCCAGCAGAGGAGGATACGGGCAGAACAGGACCGCTCCGCACTTTCGTTTCAGCTACTGGGCAGCTGCATCCCTGGCATGGGATGGCCTAGAGCTTTGACAGAAGATGAAGGAAGCAAATATGTAAAATGCCACATTTAAAACCAGACTGCCTGTGGCAGAGCATGTACCAGTAGCCCCCAGAGCCTGCTTCTGGTGCCACATGCGGGCCTAGGCACATCAGTCCCAAAACTAACAGATGGGATCTGTAACAGCAGCAGGGTTTGGCCGTGTCAAACTACGTGACTAGAGGCAGCTCCATGTCCTGCCTGTGCCTTTGGGAGATGGAATATCACAGCTCGTCCATCATCGCCAGCAAATCGTCTCCCTTGCTGGTGCTCTGTCTGGGCTGATCCGTCACCTCAAATTCCCCCATGATTTGAGCCAGCTCCTTGTTCCGCTCTTGGTCCTGTTCAGAAGGAAAGGGCCCCCACCATGTAAATCCTTCATTTCACAATGGTTTCAGTCAGGGTAACTGTGTAAAGGGCTCAAGTGTAAAGGCTAACATTTAATTAACCTTAGAAAAGTCCTTTTTATTTTGAATATTATGTATATGAAAAGTAAATTCAACTGACAGATATTTCAGTAACTGCACAATTAAAAACCCTCATGGATCAACAGTTGATTAGCTGCTGAAAATAAACAACAGGAAAAGAATGTAGACAGTCGTTTCCCTAGAACAGCTAATGATGCAATGTGTGGTCCCAAAAGAGGCAAAGTCCGTGGGGATGCTGACTGTAAGGGCCACAGGATTGGAAACATAAGATGGAACTTGGATTGCATTTACCTACCAATGCTACAAACATTCACCTGCTAAACTTAATCTTCTGCAGGACCGCAGCTAGGAGCAGGAGAACAATCCAGTCTGGTCTTTGTTGACATTTTTTTTTAAAGTTGGGCTTTGCCCAGTGAATGGCTTATTATATAGCAAATGTATTAATAGCCAAATCTGTGCAGAATTTCCTTAATTGATTTGGGATCTTAACCAGGTTCTGCAAAAGCATGCTAATATTTTTAAAACATCAAATGCATCTTTAAGATAAAAGTCAACCCTTGGCAGCAAGGAGATGATAAAGATTAGATAATAAAGATCACTGCACATACCTGAGTTGCTTGTATATTGATAACTTTATAAGACAGTTCTTCTGGCCTGGTCAATGCTGCATGTCTGGATAGAAAGTATAAATACATTTACTCAATCCCATAATGATAAGTGAATGAATGAAGAAAACATTTGTCTGAAGATGCTTAATAGGTTAGCACTTGGAAGCTTGACTCAACTTTCCCCATTTATGTGACTACAATGGACAAGAGAACAGGCAGCAATCTTTGTATATCTCTGCAGGTTTGTGGGTTTTCTGCTGACTGGAGTGATGGGAATGGTTCTTTGATTGAGGTAAATTTGTACCAAATGTGTTTTGCACACATCACCAGGGAATGGAATGGTTCATAGCCTTCCCCTGATCACTGCAAGCCAGAAAATAGATCACTTTACCAAAGGGGAACTAGAAGAATCAGAGCAGAGACCTGACTGGCTGAGCTATTGTGAAGGCCGTAATACACATGTCTGAAAGGAGCAAAGTGGTATTGGTAATAGGCTACGGTTTCTTTCACTTTTGGCCACAGGTTCAAATCTGAGACCAAGATTCTATTGATAAGAGCTCATTCCCTGCTAAGCAGTGAGGTATCACTCAGATTCTGCTGAGCAGTGAGGTATCAGTTCTCTTCCAGAGGAGCAGTCTCTACACTCCCAATGCAAACTGGCTCCCCTGCTAGTAATCTCAACACAGAGGCCAAGGTGGGGCCGTGCCAGAGAGATTGAATATCACCTCTTATTCCCCAATAGAATCCACTGGGGAATCGAGTCAGAATTGAGACACTAGAAAGGTTGCCAGAACTGTACCTACATTGCGGAGAGAGAGCTTCTGTCTCCACAACTCTTAACATAGCACTTCACCCAGCACCAAAATCACATGCACAAAACAAGCTCTGAATTAAGCATACTCTTCCTCCTCATCTGTGGTGAATAGGTTTAATCGGAATCCTGGCTCAGTGCCACTGGGTTTCTTGATCTCAAGACCGCCCATTAATCTAGCCAAAAAGTTCAGTTCTTCCTTAGCAAGAGGGTTAGGGGCTGCATTCTCCTGCAGAAAACGATAAATGAAGCTGTTTGTTTATCAATCCAGAGACTGACCATACACATTTTTGTTCCTGGTTTCATTAAGACAACATTATTTCAGGAGTGACATACTTAACGCATTTCTGTTATTGTGGCATACATGTAGGTCCTGAAGTTTAGCAAATACATACACATTAATTAGATGTTTGAATTTACAGATACAGGATAAAGTAATTTCCTGGATAATTAGAATAGCTGCTAAATTTGGAAAACTAAACTTCCTCACCTCTCAAAATATTGAAAAGTGCTCAAGAGAAGCAAGATTTAAGGATGCATGAGGAACAGGACAATAGATAATACAGAAAAATTAGACTTTCATTATAGAAGTCAAGGAGGTGGCCTGGTCTAGAGTACTGCGCACTACTGATTCCTCTCTCTGTTAATATGGACAGTGTTCAGAGAAGGGTGACAAAGTAGAGGCCTGGAACAACCCCCAGTGATGGAGAATGAAAATACTGGCATGGTCTGCTTGAGAAACAGAACAAGCAAACAGGCAGAGTAGAAGCATATTAAATAATGGATGATCAAGAGATCGCTCTCACACAAGAACAGGGAGATCCCATATGCAATTAAACAGCAAATTCAGAACTAATCAAAAATACTTTTTTTTTTTTTTTTTTTAAATGGAACACATACTTAGAGCATGGGATTCCTTTCCACTGAGGTCAAGCACTTAGCAAAGCCTGAAGGAGATGGAAGAAGACTACCTTTGTGTGAGATGTTAAACTCTTGGATGCTCCAGACATGTGAGTCTCCACTGGCCGACTCGCACTGTACCTAGAAGAAAATATAGAAGGGTTACTATGTTTATGGGAAAAGTCAGTTGCTATACTTAGGCCAAGAGCAAAAGACACTTCTATTTATGCTGGATCAAAACAAGGCTTCTGTGTATTTTTTTTCTGGAGACGCTGAATAGTCAGCTAGGTTTCTTAATATGCTGATTTTGTTAAAATGCCCAAGTGCAAAAAAGAGTGAAAATGCCTGAAGAGCACTCCCAACTCTTGCTCCCTGATGCTAAACTACTTATAGGAAATACCTGTAAAAATAAATAAAAAATAACCCCTGAATACACCTAAGTGACAAGTATATGAACTCAGAGAACGTATAGTACTAAACACCTTGTCTACCCTCAACTAGGCCACAGGCACGAGTAAAGAACCTGTTTTTTTTTTTGTCTAGAGCTATTTAAACTCATCCATTCATAACTACAAGGGAGAATTGACAGAGCAGTTCTGGCATCTCACTATGGATTCAGAGGTACCCATTTAGAACTTGCTTTGGACTTGAGCTTAAGGCTTCTACTAGCCACAACTGGTGCTTGGTCATTTAAGCAGGCAGACGCAATGTTAGCCATACCATTCCCTTGCATGCTATTGACAGCAGAAACTGGTGTGCCTTAATGGTGCTAGCCTGATGGACCACTAAGAGTGAGCAGACCTCAGGCTACAAGGAGATATTGTGATTCATAGCTACTGCTATTTGTGTTGCTTTCTCCACTGGCCAAGGTCACTGAAGTCAAAGTGTCAAGCGAAAAGCAGAAGTGGCAAAAATAAGCACATTGGATAAAAAACTAGAATATATATGTTTCTGAACAAACCTACAGACACTCTCTTCAGAGCTGACCTCCAGTTTCTATGCAGGAACATTTACTTACATATTTGTGCCCAGTTTAAGGACCCTGTCTCCATAAAGATCAAAAGAGCCTTCTCTTTGTGGAATAACATAATTCCCACCACTGGTGAATTCAACTCTTTTAACTTCATCTCCATTGCAATTAAACATCCTTAAAAGAACAAAAATAAGTCATCATTATCTCAAGACATTTAGCTGGGCCCTTCAGTATTGCCTTGGTGTGCTCATCACACAGAATGAACAGGAATAAAAATATTTTTTATAATTTCTTGCCATCGCTGTAAAAAAAACTAAATGTTTTAAAAAGATAAATAAAAGGAGCAGGGGATTACAGAGAGGTTCTCAGGCATTCACTAGCAGGTCACTGATAGCAAATCATGACTTGCAAGTATTAACATCCAAAGGACGCACAACTAACTAGGCAACGCGGATACCAGTCTCAGAGCAATTCCCATTGGCCAAGCTTTCACTTTGCCACTGGCTGGACACCCCCTATCTGGGTGGCCATGCATGCAGGGGAAATGCAGACATAATTAATAGTGGTCTAGGGTTCACCTGATGAGTCCTGGAACTTCTGTCCCCCATGGAACAGGACCCGAGATTGGCAGCACAAAACGACCATTCGAGTTTTGCACTTTGTCCTTCAGAAAGATGGACACCTGCAAAGAACACCCCGCCCATGAGAGCACCAGTCAGATGCCTCCTCACATCACCTGCTCGGGGCTCAATCCTGTAGTCCGCCAACTTCAAAGGGAGACCAGTGCGTGAAACAACCATGTGATGGGCCCACAACAGTCACACTGCTTGGCATCATACCCTGATTTGAAATAAACTGCTTGTGCTCAGCTTACTGAGAGAATCCTTTCCTTTATTCAGAGCATACCAAACTCGCCTTTAATCCTCAGTTTCTCAGTCAAGCTTTTAATTAAAAAGGTTAAAGTAGTCTGACAGTCAATAAGTCCATACAGTACTTGCATGGCATTCCCTGAGTTTAGGAAACCCCCACTAATAAATAAGAAAATTCAAAAGATAGTAGCTGGGAATGGCAGTAGTAGCTTCCCCCATCACTCGAGTAACTAGGAAATAGCAAGAATGGTTGGACACACTTACACTGCATATTATTTTTGGTTTCTGGAGCTTCAAGCAATTACACTTTTGAAGTAAATCAAATCAAGTTCCAAGCCCAAGCAGCAAAGATGAGCTGATTTTAGAATAATATGATAGTACCAGAAAAAACGACATGTTACTGCCACTGAATCAAATTCATATTTCTTATCGGCTAATCAAGCAGGACACTTACCCTGATGTGCATATCCTGAAAAAAAATAAGGAGAGTTTGCCTGATCAGCTGAAATTCACCAGCAGAGAGACAACTGTACATCTAGGAAAGAAAATAAGAAACATTACAGTTATTAGGTGTCCTGGTCAAACATGGGCACACAAATACCAAAACAATGTTGCGGGGGGGGGGGGGGGGAAAAAA